TGTTGGACATAAACATGTGTGGTAAATTTCCTGCATATAAAAAGTCAAGTAAGATGTTTTCACAAAGGCACTCCGATGGGAAAACAAAGAATTTGAACTGCCTCTGAAATCCTCCTGAGTTGCTTGTTCACACATGCACCTCACAGCGGGAGAATATCCCAGTCAGAAGGGATGGTTTGGGGGGGAGGGGGAATCAGGAGGCGAGGTGTGAGATAAAAAGAATGATGCTGAAGTGGCAGATGAAAGAACAGTGTCTGCTATATGATGCTTTAACAAGCCTTTTTGCCTTTATACTAATGGGCACTGGTGGCGCAGTGGTTAGAGCGTGTGCCCTATGTATGGAGGCTGTAGTCCTCCAAGCAGGCGGCCCAGGTTCAAATCCGACCTGTGGCTCCTCTCCCACATGTCATTCCCCACTCTCTCTCTCTCCCTGATTTCCAACTCTATCCACTGTCCTATCTCGCTCCAATTAAGGCACAAAATGCCCAAAAGCAAAGGAGGCTTAGCATTTGCTGTTGCAACATTAATATTTCCTTAAAGGCCTTCTTGTTGTTTTTATGTTGATGTTTTATTTTATTTGTTTATTGTCTCCTTTCGTCAGCACTTGCTTTTGTTCATATTTTACTCTCTATAGCCGTTTGCACACACGCACTCCATGTTTAAAAAGGCTCTATTTTCTTGCCTCCTGCTTGACCCGGTGCATCACAACACAGCTGCTCATTACCTGCTTGTTGTGGGGGAGGAGAAGTGAGTGACACTGACCACACCGATTAATATCACGTTTATAAACGACCGTAATGTAAAGAAAAAAACAAAGCTCTTTGGAGCCCAGGGACAAAAAAAGAAGAGGACGAAAAATATTAAAAAGACACAGAGGAAACGTGCTGCACGGATCAATGATTTATCTGTTGTAGTTAAGCTTGTTGTGGATGGATGATAGTAACGTCCGTGTTTCCTAATTCCTAATCTATAGCTCGAGTTAACCTCAGTTATTTTCACTGTACTTTCATTAGGTAAAGATTATTCAGGTTAATAAAATAGCCAGTGTTAAGAAATACACTTTCTTTTGTGAAGTAGGCCATGTTGTTTGGGACACAAAACCTAATTTTATATTTATTGACATCTTTGTGTACTTAGTTAGCGTTCACCCTAGTCGATGAAAATGTTTATTTTCCACCTCCTGTTGCAATGAATAGTTTTAAGCTCTTGCCTTTAGAGTATTTGTCTAAGAGCGTGAATGCATTTTAAGTCCTCACTGAATAGATGCTGCATGCTGTAGGTCTGGTTGTAAGGAACATGTTTGGGCTCACATGAAAAACTATGCTGTATGAGGTTTCTCTACTGTTCTGAAGAGAGAATAATATTTTGTGTTCACATTATATTATAAAATGCCCATTGTTTCACAAATGCTCATCTTCTCTCTCCAGATGCAATCATAAACATTTAAAGCCATCCCTGGCCCGTCTGTGACTTCTGCTCCCTGCACTGTTTGATATTGTTAGTTCTGTTACACTAGTTCTTTTTATTTATTTATTTATACGAAATATTGGAGTTATTACCATTTTATTCACGTTTGTTTAGAAGAACATTTTATTTTTAAAATAAAGAAATTCTGTTAAATATAAAGATGTATGCCAGTTTTCTTTATGTCTATGAATATTGTCTTTGGTGTTCAAACTGTCTGCAACATAAGGTTCTGTGTCTATAACTTGAAGGTGAAATATCAGGCAAAATACACTTTACCATGATTTTCTTACTCTAATGTGTCTCCCTGGTCTGTCTACAAACCCCCAGTTATTAGAAAAATAAATCCTCTTCTTTTGCCTGCTTCACAGGTGTTACTGCAGCTAGGTGTTTGTTCTGCCCTCCGAGTCTGCCTTCTAAAAAAAAATGGGCATGAAGCGAGAAAGTCCACACAAAGAGTCACATCCTCTTTCAGAGAGGGGTGGGGTCAGACACATCTCGTTTACATTTAAAGCTACAGACACAGAAACAGCCTGTTCTGAGCAGATAATCACTGGGTATGCTAATATCCGCAGATATTATCGGCTGGCTGATTTATCGGTCGAGCTCTGGATGATTAAATGCACAGCCTTTGCATGCAACTGACATATAACCATATAGTCTACGGGCTGATCCGAACCAATAACAGTAAAATGTACACATGCTGAGTGAGAAAGCATTGCTTGTCTGCATGAATAAAACTTTCTTGCGATAAATTCTGACTATAGCGACGTGATTGTTGCAAATCCTTTCATTGGGATAACTCTGTAACTGTACTTACTTGCGCAGCCCTATAGCCTACCCTGACCTATGTTTTAATTTTGTTTTAATTTTGTTCTTTATAAGGAAGATAATTATGATTCCAAAGAGGTCAGTCTTTGAGAAGGTGAGTCTTTCAAGAAAAACCCATTTTTACGATATACAAGTGTACGACGAAGGATTAGAGTCACATTAACCCTTGTGCCCTCCTCAAATGTATTTATATTTTCTGCTGTGAAGTTAAACAACTCTGAGTTGCTCAAAACTACCAAACATTCCTTTAAATTCAAGGTTATTAGTTGAATAGTGATTAGAGTTTTGAATATGTGAAAGTCTAGCAACAAAGTTGATTTGATTGCATTCGTCTTTTTTATGTACCCTCTGGAAACCTTCTTGGCCAAAATGTACAAACACAATCTGCAATAAAATCATCAGTATTTGCTTTTGTATTTTGTTGTTTTTCCTTCCTTCTTTTCTGCTCTTTTATGGCTTTTGACGGTTAGAGAAGGGGGAAAGAGGGAGGCTGGTGAGAGACAGGGGGCTTCGGGAGGTCTTGCGCGAGATCCGAGATGGGGAGTCGGAATCATTGTGAATAGGTAGTCAATTTCTTTTAGAATTGGCATTTTAATGGTTGCTGTTCTGCCTATGATGGTAAGTGGGAGGGTCATCCAGCGGTGGAGATCGTCATTCACTGGACTGAAAAAAAGACTGATCAAGTGACTGCCTTTATACCTAACTATTAGATTTCTCTGGTGCATAAAGGGATCCAAGCTGTTACAATTTAATGGGAGAATGGAGGATTTGTTCCAGTTAACTTGAGTAATCTGAGATGATGGAGAATGATTCAATAAGAATTGAATTGTTTCTTGAAGTGAGGACTGAGGGTCATACAGAGTTATCTTATGACAGTGTTTGGGGTTTGAATTCCTTTTATGTTGGTGTTCTGACGGATGGCTGCTGCTAATGGTTAGATGAAGAGTGTGAACAGAGAGGGGGAGTCCCCCTGTCCAGTGTGATGATTGTCCATTGGTGATAACAGTGGCTGTTGGTGAGGTGTGTAGTGTACTGACCCAGTTAATAAATGATTCCCATAAGCCAAATCTCTGTAGTGTGTTTCTTAGAAAGGACAAGTTTACTCTATGGAAAGCTTTTTCTGCGCCATATAGTGATTGGTTTATGAAAACTGGGTGAAGTCCATTTGGTGGAGACTGGAGCATGGTCACTAATGATGATGGGGTTGATCTTATTGTCTGAAATGTTTGTAATGATTGCAGACGCCAACTATCGCCAAGACCAAATTCACTCATGAACTGATTTATTGTTTCAGTGGATTGCCAGATGCGTTTGAGATATTTGATCTGTCTATTGATGGGTCTAAGACTGCTTTGAAGTCATGTTACAACTCCGCAGAAAAGTAAGGACCCAAAAGCAAGACTCCGAACACAGAAGCACAATTAAACAGTTATTTAATAGTGAAACAAAACTAATAGTGCAAGTGGGGCAAGGGGAAGGAGTGTCCAAATCCTCTCGGAGAGACGGTGAGTGCACCGGCAGACCGGCGAACAAGCAGGCAGGCAGGCAGGCAGGCACAAGCACGTAATACAGGATCACACAGACAGATAAAGGAGACTCAGGCGATGAGTGGTGAAAGACGGAGTAGATATACTGCTTGATGATGAGGGGTTGACTGTCTACCCCTGGGCCGCCTGTAAAGATGACCACGCCACCTTCACTCACAAACACAGCCATGCACTCCAGACACATAGGGGAGTATGTATTTTAATTAAAAAACTCAGTGGATTTTGCTCACAACACCACAATCACAGACCCATCAGAAATATATCAATCAACAACAGTTCATTAACAATAGGTAATCTCTACGGCCCAACCTCCGATGAACCATCATTTTTCAAAATTTATTTTCATCCATATCAATCATTTGCAACTCCCTCGGCATCATGAGCACGGCAACTTCACTCACCAAGAAAACCCGGGAAATCCAGCCACTCTCCAGATAACAAAAGAGCACGTTCACATTCACTTACAGTGTAGGCAATTAATAATAATTGTTCTTATTTAAACACAAACACACTATCAACCACAACTCATTTTTTTGCCCCTGCTTGCCCCCAGAGAGTTAGCCCACCCCTGGCTATTAAGGGAACAACAGTAAACTGAAGAAGGCAGCAGATCAAGATAAGATTTTTTATAGTTTTTTTTTTTTTTTTTAATCATAACATCGGTGACTCCTTTAAGCAAATGAACCTCATCAAAATTTATCGCAATGACTCAGATGTTAAAATGAATCATAAGGTGTCTGAAATTAATCACATTCAAACCAAATCGCAGACGGAGGATAAACATGAAGGATTTCATTCAGCTGTCATGTCATTTTTTAATACATGACGGTTGTTTTCTTGTTGAATACAGATTGTGCTTTAAATTTGGCCTCTCTTGCCTTTTTTTTTTTTTATTGTGTTCAGTCTCTTAATCATTAACTTTGAGTGGATGGAGGGTGCAGGGAAATCACTAAGACAGAGCTTGGGGTTTTTCTCTGGAAAATATTAATATCTTTTATTCTATTTTTTAAAATCGCTTGATGGCGAGAATAGACACAGCATTTTGTTTTCTGTGAGTATCCACCACTTTTCGGTGTTTTTTTTTTTTTTTTACCCTCCTCTTGCCGGGCAATGAGGGCGTGGTCTCCAGTGACGTCTCCAAATGGGCCAAACCTTAAACCTGCCACTTTGAGAACTGTAGAGAGGGGGGATGAAGGGAAGTATTAATGACGTGCTTGGAGTGAAGAAGTGCCTGGAGGAATAAAACGCGGAGGAATAAGCACCGGGTCCGGGTACATGTGTTGTCCCCTTGGTAGTTTCACTTTGACACGACTCAGCTTTTGTTTGTTCTGCATTCATTGACTTTTCGGCGTAAAAGCGACTGAACTCCGAACGCAGCTGCTGATTTTTGCCTGGACCGCGAGTGACAGGTTTGTGACATGACACATGACTTTTATTTAACTCCTTCAATAACAGAGTATAATCCTGTTTTCTTTATCTAAGCGAAAAAAAACTAATGTTAAGGTGATTTTCTCAGCTTCTCTTGAAGTCTGTCTGTAATGCTTTGCTGCTTCTAACATATCCCTTTTTTGTATGCATACAGTAGTTTAGTTTATGCGCCTCTCTGATCCATATTTCTTAATAATAATAAAAAAAAAACACCAAACACCGTAGAGTCACATAAGAAAGCCAAAACATAAAGCTGACAGAACTATCTTGCAAACAAGGTCAATAATGATCTGTCTTTCAGCTTTTTAGTACCACACAATCATCCTCACCAAACACACTTTTGATTTAAAAGACGTAAAATGTTGCTTAACTTGCTGCACCTTCTTCTTGACTGTGTTCACATCTTCTTCAGTTTCTCAGCGAGGCAAAAAGGCAAGACTTGGTGCACGATGGTAAAATGTTATAATTACATTTTTTTTGAGTTGCACTAGTGGGAAGAAAGACCAATGAAAAACTAAAGATTGGAAGAATGTAGGTCAGCAGAAGTGAATGCAGATACAGTTCTTTGCCAAATTTAAAATACTCGTGAGCCAAAATGTCAATATGCTGTGTTAGAATTTTCCTTTTTAATGACGGAAATGAAATCAGGAAATTAAGAGTTAATCATGTAAAAGATTGACACATTTTTGAACTTGATGACTTTCATGCAAGTAACAGCGAGCTGTTTCAAATCAGTGTCGAAAACATCTAAATCCTAAGTCGTATTTAATGTCTAGTTTGCTCTAAAAGGTCACTCAGTGCAGCCTTAATAAGGACGACTGTTTCGTCCATGGTTCACTGCCTCTGCACAGATGCTCTGCAGACAAATTGTGCACTAAATGACATCTCTCTCTCTCTGCAGCTCATTTGCATCCAAGAGTTTGCGAACTACAAAATCAATCTTAGAGATCAATTGGTTCAGATTTTCGTCATAATATCAAGTAAATATTTCCATCATTTGTGCAGTAAATTGTCTGCATAGATATAAAAGTGACTTAAATGTATTTTTTATTTAACACCTCTTTATTAACTTCCTTGCTTTTCAGATTCTATTCCTCTACAGTTTACAAAAACATTATTGTGTGTTTAATTTTGTGCGGGACATTTGGTTTACACTCTAATCATTGACACCGTTGGCGATTATTTTATCAAACCAACAAACCCTGCCCTATCTGTTGCTGTTCTTAAGGCTCCAGAGTGGAAACCAGTGTGGATGTACAGTCAGCCTCCTCTTCACGGCCTTGAGACTGCTCATGGTGTAATAATAATCTTGCTTTAATTGTAAATACCAGATTCCTTTTCCACTTGTGAATAACTGAGCTGTGTGGGAGTTGTGTGTGTGTGTGTGTGTGTGTGTGTGTGTGTGTGTGTGTGTGTGTGAGGGGAGGGGAGGATGGAGGGAAGTCCTGTTGTTACCAGAAATAATAAAAAAAGTCGGAATTTAGGAACATCCTTTTCTGGTCTCCGGGTTTCGCCCACACTGAAAAGAATTTCAAGGGCTGGCGCCGAAAAGCTCGTCAAGGTTGCCCTGCTTGACGAGCCAAGAAACCCCCCATCCTCCACTCCATCCTCAGGACGTCCATCACTAAAGACTCACTTAACTTAGCACTTTATTTTTATTTATCTTACCTATTCTGTTTAATGTGTATTTTTGAGCTTTCTTGTCTGTGCTGCTGCAACGCCCGAATTTCCCCTCTGGGGATCAATAAAGTATTATCCTATCCTATCCTAACTTAAACATACAACTTTCCTGCTTTATATACAAATCAACACAGAGTCTCATTCACCTTATTTATCCTTTTTAAAAACACTAAATGGCAACAAACCATGATGCAGACTCATCAGAAAAAGGGAGACCTGCGTCATGCGCTAACACCAAGCTAGCGAAAAAAGCACATGATTACGACTTGAAGTGATGAAACGAGATAGATGTTTGTCATGAAGACTCACGGCCTCTAAGGTTCTCAGGATCGTCAGTGACATTTAAGAACAGCACTGTAGACTTGAGTCTGTTACCATGTCAAACAGATACAGAAACACAAAGACCCCCGTCATAAAATGTCTGTCTCCTCAACGTGCCCCAAGTCACATCTTCCGATTGAGTCGTTCACAGCACGTTGAGAAGTTAGTTAATGCATTATAATGGGGCTATCTGACTTCAGAACTATAATGGTGAACCTATATACTACAGGCACCTTGCACCAGGTAAGCCATGCATTACAACAGGAACCTGTTTTCTCAACCTTCTAAATTGAGCCTCTTTTAACATTCATTCTTCGATCATAAGACTTTGAGGATCACGTCCTCCTTTTTCCTCTCTACACACAGAGACAAGACAAGTGGAGAGAAAAAGAGAAATATCAGAAATACAGAAATATCTGGCTTTATTTATATTTATGGATTTTGTGTGAAGTGCAAACGTAGTTTTCTGAGTGGCTATGTGTTCGCACTCATAATGCCAGGTAGTACTCTGCTCTGTATGTGTCTTTTAAGTTCCATCTCAAGACATACTTTTATATTTTAGCATTTGAGTCCTCTGGTCCTGAATAGACCGTTTCTTTCAGGTTCCTTTTGTTGCTTTCTTTATATATTCTTTCTTTATATATGTATACATATACGTATATATTTCTCTCTTGTGGACGTTGTGATCTCAAGTTGTTTTTTCTTTTTTTTTAATGTATTGTACAGCACTTTGGTCAGCTGTAGCTGTTTTTAAATGTGCTTTATAAATAAATATGACTTGAGTAGTGTTGAGCTTGATGGGCTTGGGTCATTTTTGGGCAGGGGCAGATCCAGGGTGCGCCAGGGTGGCCTGGGCCCCACTTGAAATCTGATGTGCCACCCATAATTCCTAAATCTACTAATTATTTAGAAAGTAAGCGGATAATATGAGTATTTTAAGATTGTGATTAATCATGATTCGCTTGACAGCACGACACTAAACTCAATGTAAAGATGTTTGTTCAATCTCAGGTGTGTACCAATTATCTTAACTTGCAGCAGTGCACTGAAAAACTCCTACAGAGATTTCAGACCTGTGAGAAGAAAACGATTTCAATTAAACCACTTTTGTTTTCACAGAAAAAGCCTGAAGTTGTACAGAAAGTCCAACAAGTCTTTGACTTCTCAATCTACTCCTTTTCTAGTGTTGAAACGGTGTCAGAGTATCACCTGCGGAATGATTGATGATGTTCCCCGAGTAGAGCTGCATTGATCAACATTTTCTTCACTTTTTTTTTTAAAGTTACGTTTACTTGTTGGTACCAGATTTATAGGATGATGGACAACAAAACACCAACCTCAAAGTGAAGCCAACGGATTTAGTGCCCCCTCTGCTGACTTCCATGTTCCTATTCCATGTAGAATAGGTCATAAATCCCCCACTTCCATGTTAACAAATGGGGCAAGGTTATACTCTAAACTTAAATACCACATCGAATCCATTTTTACATTAGAGCTTGTTGTTATGATGCTGATTAGTTACTTTATGCTAAAGCCTAAAAAGTTGTTAAATGCTATGACTGACAGCTCTATTTGGCAGAGTAGAGGTTAAACTTCTGCCGATTGTAACAACCTGTGGGATTGTTTTGGCTTCATCGCTAAGTTAAATGTCTGATATGTTTCGTGGAAGCGGCATGCTGTTAAACCAACAATCCCTATACTGCACAGACTCTTGCTCATGAGCAATACGTCAGGGGTTTTATGGCTTCACTTTTTTTTTTACAACTGGAGAGAGAGAGAGAGAGAGAGAGAGTGTGGGGGGATGACATGCGGGAAAGGAGCCACAGGTCGGACTGAGTGGGTTTCGGACATTTGACGTGTAAATAAAGATATTGACTGGCTCAAACGAGGACTGCTTCAGTCACATGTTTGAAATCAAACTTAAAGCACGCCATGAAAACAGATGTGGCACATTTCTTAAGATTGCAGGGCACAGTCATGTCTGAAAACAGATGTTGGTGAAGCTGATACAAGGTGTCCAATTCAACAGAAGTTGAAGGATGTGTACACCTTTTTAAAAGAGACCAAACTAAATGTAGAAGACACGGCTGTTTTAAGTCTTGTAGTTGGACCCCAAATATTGAATGGATTCCCACTAAAGGTCCCTGTTACTGTTAGCTAGTGTGACAGTCCGCTGCTGATTAATGAGTAGGTTTCCATGGTCACTTGATTTAGTTTATTTTGATTCAGGGATGTGGTCTCTTGGGCTTTGGAGGACTGCTCTTGTCAGTGCTTTTTGATTCCTCTAAATGAAGGCAGAGCGTTGGAGCTTTTATTTTTAGTAATGCAGAGGTTGGACGTGGCTGTAAATAAACAGAGAACTCTTCATGATGAAAAATGATCTTCGAGCAGGACTAATTTGTCAACCTTCTCAATTGGGCCACTTGTAACATTCATTCTTCCATCATAAGACTTTGAGGATCACGTCCTCCTTTGTCCTCTTTACACACAGAGACAAGACAAGTGGAGAAAAAAAAATATTGACGAGTTGTACAAACGTTAACAGTGCCTTTTGGGAGCTGTTAGTGGAGGTTTTCAATAACACTGAAGGGGGTTACAGTATTTAAAAGTGGTCCTTTCATCACGAGTCAGAGCCATGAAAGCACTTCTTTTAATTGAATTGGACTTAAGACAAGCAAGTCGTCAGTTGAAACGCATGCAACAGGTAGACCCGTTGTAAAGGAGATGCAAAGCCATTCCAAGAAAAGAAAAAATGAGCCAAAATAAATTTGACAAAACATATCAAAAGGAAAGGCATCTTTGCTTTGAAGTTACATTAAATTCCAAATTATAGTTCAGCTCTATTGTCCAGTATTTCCAATGCAATTAAAAAAAAAAAAAAATCCATATTTTGATTGCTAAATGGCGACAGCTCCGAAACAATTCTCAGTTGTCATTATACCTTTGTCCTTTCGTTTTGAGTCTGCAACGCCGTAAGATC